AGGATGGTCTCGATCTCCTGACCTCGTGATCCGCCCGTCTCGGCCTCCCAAAGTGCTGGGATTACAGGCTTGAGCCACCGCGCCCGGCCGTCCTTACTGTTTTATTCTTTGTTTTCTGGTCTACAGAACCATGCAAAGAAGTCTCATGGACAACTGGTATATGCCCTTTCTCCCTACCCACTCTGCCCTTTATGAACCTAAGAGTCACAGACTCCAAAGCTGGGGCCAGCATGTTCTCCCCCATCTCTGGACTGCTGTCTTGGGACCCACTTCCCACAGCCTCCTCCATCCCCAGGAGCAGCCGAGACATCGTATTCATGGATGCTCCTGCTGTGCAGGGCTTTGGTGGTAGCTGCTCCTCCACCGCTCTGCTGCTTGCTCAGCCAGAGCCCTGCCAAGCCTCCGCCTGATGGCATACCTGGCCAGGTCCTCAGCCTCACTTGAGATTGCTTTCTTTGGTTTCAAGTTGGGACCAACTTCTCCTTTGAAAGAACACCCATGGTGCCAGGACTATCATCAATTTACCTTCCAACTCCTTCTCTCTCCCCCGGCCTGCTCCCTGGGTGAGTTCTCCTAGAGCAACGTTGATGCCCTCCCTACACCATCCTTGGCACTAAACCACACTCGGCCTCCTTCAGCATTGATTGTGTGGGCGTTTTATCTCTCTCAATCATGCCGTGGATTCCTCGAGAGCGGGCCTGGGGGCTCAGCACAGCTTTGTAGCCTCCCACATTCTCCATGCTCTCCCACAGACCCCTGCACATGGTAAGCTTTAATGCCTTCTATTGATTACTCAGAAGTGGAGGCTCATTAAGGGGTGTGTGAAATTTGGGTTCCGTTCTGTTAGGCAATGGAACCTCGGTTCTCTTTCGTTAGGACAATGTTTCCCAAAGTGTGTTCTATGGGCTGTAGGCTATTAACAGGTGTTGTAGGATAAAGAGACCCATGATTAACTAAAGCACATTTCTTAGAGCCCTAATATGTTAGTGAACGCTGTGATATTCCAAGAAGAAAGGTGTGGGAAGTCAAGATCAACATGGCTTAGGGCAACCAGATACAGAATCCTGACAGTGCTCAGGATGGTGGAGAGCATCTACTTATCTCAGATAAAGGTTAGAAGGCATTACTTCTTGGCCTTATGGCTAAAACCAAGTGTAGGATGGAAGGCAGCGGGTTAGACAAAGACTCGGGTAAGATCAACAAGTAAATCCAACCTCACACAGATACACTCTGAATCACAGAGTTAATGCTAAATGGGGGTCCGATAGGATGAGGGGAACAGGAGTCTCTCCTTTCTCAGGTGCCTATCTCCTCTCAACCCAGGGAGGTAGTGGGCCATCATCAATATCTTAACCAAAAAAACCTTCACTCAAATCACATACACCTGGCTGCAACAGCCGGATTCCAGATACTGAATTTCTAACTAAGCTGCAGACCTAGGAATTTTCTAAGTCAGGACTTATTTGCCAAATAGGGGCTTTCTGAGATAGGACTGGCCACAGCCAGTGGCCATAGCCAACAAATTTAGCTAAGAACCTTTTTTTTTTTTTTTTTTTTTTTTTAACACCTCATAGGATTGATATTTCTAGGATAGTACCTTGGTACATGTGCCTTGGAGTCCCTCATCTGTCTTCACCATCAGAGAGGCAGCACCATAAGCACTATATGGTCACCATTAACGTTTTGTGATCCTTCTGGGCAACTGTCCCATCACACAAATCTCCCAGGCTCACAATGGACAGTAAGACTAGCATTGCCATTGTCCCCACTGAACAGATGAGGGAAGGCAGCGAGCTCACTGGAATGGTGAGTCATGAGATATGCATTTGAGATTGAGGAGATACGCAGAATCTCAAATCCTACTAGATGTGGGATATCTATCTCTGAAATGAGACTATCTTTCTCCCAACAATACTGATGGGATGAAATGAAGATGTGTATTAGAGGACTATGTAAGACCCATCACTCCATGACATATTTATTGGACCCATGCTATGTAGCTATCTATAAAGAATAGCTATGTTTGCTGGGAGTCTATAGGGTATCATACACAATTCTGGGCTCTTTCTATATGAAACTTAATGTAATCCTCACAATAATCTCTTGGAGTTGGTTATTACAATCCCCATTTTATAGATGAAGAGACTGAGATTTGAGGAGATTTGCCCAAGTTTACATCCTCATACTGATAACCAGAAAACTTGAACTCAGAGCCAAACTCAAAGCCCACATTCCATGCTCTTTAATATGAGGAGTTAAGATGCTAGTGCTAAAAAAAAAAAAAATTAAATAAAGCTTACTTCACATGCAAAAACAAATGAAAAAGATACTAGGTATAGGCTACACTGTATGTGGTTCTATATACTGAAGATTAACCATATTAATATTCATCTTTAAAATTAAAAGCAGTAAAAGTTAAAACTGGTGTTAAAAGAACTGTGTCCAAAGCTTAGTTCCAGGAGTTACTGGTGTAGCAAATATCTTTGCGGTCTGTCTCTCATTTTCTTCCTTTGGAACCCAGGGGGAAATTGCCACCTATTTCCCAAGGCTTTTGCAAGAAGTGAATTGACCTAGAATATGCTAAGCAGCTACAACAGTGTCTGGCTCTTGGCAGACACTCAATGAGTATAGCCGAATGAGATTCTTTGTAGCTTATAATCTAACAATGACACATATTAATATGTTGCAGATATACTGATTTTTAACAACTGAGCATAACATAGGTGAAAATATTACTGCTTGTTTTTTATCATTGTGTTTTAACAATCAGGTGATAAGACCTGAGGGCAAGGCAGGAACCCCGCACAATAACCTAGGTAAGAGCACAGACTCTGAGCCACACAGCCTGGGTGAAATCCACTTACCAGCTTCAGGCCCTGAGGAAAGTCACTTCACCTCTCTACGCCTGTTCCTTCATCTGTAGAATGATGGGGTGGTTGTGAGGATTATGAGAGTTGATGTATGCAAAGCATTTAGAACAGTGACTGGTATATAGTAAGTGCTATGGAAGCATCCCCTTCCCCCTACCTGCTGTCTTTCTGAACCCTTCAAACACTTATAAATGCCAAGAAGAGGTTTGGATAACATTCCACGCTTTTGGTTTTTTGTTTGTTTGTTTGTTTGTTGTTGTTGTTTGTTTGTTTTGTTTTTTGAGACGGAGTTTCACTCTTGTTGCCCAGGCTGAAGTGCAATGGCGCGATCTCAGCTCAACGCAACCTCTGCCTCCTGGATTCAAGTGATTCTCCTGCCTCAGCCTCCTGAGTAGCTGGGATTACAAGCATGCACCACCATGCCCGGCTAATTTTGTATTTTTAGTAGAGACGGGGTTGCACCATGTTGGTCAGGCTGGTCTTGAACTCCTGATCTCAGGTGATCCACCCGCCTCAACCTCCCAAAGTGCTGGGTACACAGGCGTGAGCCACCATGCCCAGCGCTTTGGTATTTTTGTGTTGCACGTTTTATCTCCCCCATGAGATCTAAGCAACTCGAGGGTATGATTCTATCTGATTTGGCCTACACAGGGCTCACCTAAAGTAAGTTCTCAGAAACTGTGGAATCCGTGAAGAAATCAATGAACATCCTGGGGGCTCCAGTTCTGAGGGGCACCCAGGGCTGTGTGTTCCCCCACCTCATGGCTGAGCTCCTTCACTGTGCTGGGCCCCCACATTTCCTGGCTGCAGAAGTCCCAAGAAGAGTATGTATGCTCTGAAGAGGCCAACAGAGGCTGTAGCAGTCTGGCTGCTGCTCCCCACAACCCTTTGGCCAGTCCATTTACACTTATGACCACAGATTTCGCCTGAGAGGCTGGCAGATTAAGGGGTCAAAAGCACCTGGGCATTATGATGTAAGGAAAAGCCCCCTCGTCCCTGGCCCCCATCTGAAAGTCCACCATCTTTTTCTAGGCACCCTCTGGGGCACACTAAACCATTAGCTAAGAGGCTTTCTGCAGCTCAGGGTAGGAAAAGGTGATCTGAGCCCTAAGGAACTAGAATGGGGAGGAGGGAAAGAGGCCAGCTTCTGGGGCCTTGGGAAGCTGGATTTTTGTCTTTCTTCTCCAGGACCCTGGCAGTTAGGGTCCGGCTCAGAGTATCAGAGGGAAAGGAGCCTCAGCAATTCTCAGTCTCCAGGCCTCCTAGGGAAGTGACCGGCAATGGCAGATAATGCTGTTCTCACATCTGTTCCAGGCTCATTCCTCACTCCTGTCTTCCCGTTCTCTCCCTAAACCCTTATGTTGATGTTCAACATATGAGCCATCCTTCCGGGAGGCCACCTGGCACAGCAGCCCAAGCTTGAGCTTTGGGAACAATTAGAACTGATTTCAAATGTGGACTCTGCCAGTTACTGTCTGTGTGATGCTGGCCAAGTTCCCTAACCTCTCTGAGATTTAGCTTCCAATATTACTAATGTTACTATTTCAATTTGACTAATTTCACAATATTGTTGAAATTGATATGAGCTAATTACGTTAAGTCTCCACAATGCCTAGCACATAGTAAGGGTTCGGCTAATTATGATTGTGGTATACAGTGTCAGGTCTGTACACTCCCCCTTTCCCTCTGTTTTCATCCAACTGAAAGCCAGTCAGTCTCAACATGACATTAGGCAGCCCAGGGTGAGGGTGAGAAAGCTGGAGGATAGGCCATCCTCTTGTTTGGGCGACCTGATAGAGGAAGGCCAAAGAGTTACAGGCCGGGTGTTCAACTGTGCCTCATGTCTGGATGTGTGTGCAAAGGCATTTGCCAAGCAGGCTGAGCCATCCTTATGCCATGAACCCATCCCTTCTGAATTAGTTGTCTCCCCTGGTCCCATTCCCTACTTGCTTTTCTCCAGCAAAGGCTCTGGGGGTCTGAGTAGAAGGGTTGGATGCTTGATTGGGGAAAGATACACAAGAAACATTGTAAGACTGATAATAGTAATGATCAATAACAACAAACTTTTGAGGGCCAACTCTATGCCTGGCTCGTTGTGTGCCCATGACTTCACTTCATTATCAACAACCCTAAAAAAGAGGTGCTTTTATTATCCCCATTTTATAGATGAAGAAACTGAGGCTCAGAGAGATCCAAAAACTTGTGCAAGATTACATGGTTCATAAGGAGGGAAACAGGATTTGAAATTAGTCTAATTCCAGGGCTTACCTACAATGAGCCCAATACTTTAGTAGGTACCTTACATCATTTCTAATCCTCACAACAATGTTATGAGTCGAGTATTCCCTTTTTACCATTAAGAAAACAAAGTTGGAGAGGATACATAACCTGCCCCTGGTCGTGCAGTTCAGTGACTTGCGGAAAGTCATGCAGCTGGTAGCTGTGGAGCCAGGGTCTGAATCCAAAGTCTGTGTATTTTTTCCATTCCACTCTAATCCAGTGCCTCCAGTCCAGCAGAGCTTGGAAGAGGGGCTCTGAAGGGAAGGAAAAACAATATTTATAAGAACCTTGTACATGGTCATTGCTTTCCCATAAGGTGTCTCATTTAATCCTCACAACTACTCCATCAACAGGGTATAATTAGCCCCAAGAGGAAAACCCAGGCTCAGAGAGTAAAGTGACTTGCTCAAGATCACACAGTCAGTAAGCGGGAAACTCAGGATTCATACTGACTACTGGTTTCCAAGGACTTGTTATTTCTACTGGGGTGCACCATCTACAACACCCCATCTGCTGGTTTTGCAATTTTGCTTTGCACCCAGTCCAAGATCCATTTTCTGCCTGCTCCATGCTCCAGGAGACAAATCTCTGTGGATAGTATCACAGGGCTCTCCTGTCTTCTGTCTTCCAGTTTGGGTTAGATTAACAGGAAGCTTTGGCAGGAGATCAAAGGCATGAGACAGGTCAGGGAGTTTCTTCTGCTCCCTCCTCCCCTGCCTTGCTTTAATTCTTCAACTACAGCTCCTTCTGGGCAGCCCCCTTGCATAGCTCCCACACTTTCTGGGTCCTGAGGACTCCATTCTTCCATGCATCTCCTCAGGCTGAGAGTAGGAAGAGCTTCCTGTTGTTGCTGGTCCCTACCTGTCTCAGTATTCCTTGTTGATTCCCTTAACCTTGCCGTACTTCTGCAAATGGTTCCCTTATGCAATTACCTTCATAATCCCAGTTGAGAATCCTTCTATTTCCTGCCAGGACCTGACCAAGCCTCCTAATGTTCATCTGAGGCTGCTCTTTTTGGAGCTACTTGGAAGGAAGGCCAATGGCTTCTTTGCTGATCAAACAGGTTCAGGTCTTTCCCAAACTAATTAGCAGATAGACAGGACAGTGGCCAGGGACTGGAGGCTGGCTCTTGATGCTGTCCCTGCCTCCATCCATCTGCAATTACAGTTTGGAGCAGCTCAGCCTCTCCAAGTCCAATGCCCCATCATCTTTTTTTTTTTTTCCCCAATTGATGTAACTCAGTAATTTTTATTGCACCTGGAAGACAATACATCACAGAAACTTTGTGGTAGGTCTGGGGAAGAGTGTTGTTTACAATAAATGATGAAATAGTTTGTCTTTGGCAATATGATTACATACGAAGAATCCAAAATGCAGGTATGGATGCCTTCCAAGCAACACCATCTAGTCCCTAGAGTTCGGCTGATAGTGCCTGCCTCCACATTGTTTCTTTAGGTTCACACGAACATAACTGAACATCATGTTCTTTCTCCTTTATGGTTCTCCCTTTCTATTCATGATATTGGCAGTTTCATACCGAAAATACAGAAAAAAATTGACTTTTGAAAAATTATTACTCTCGTAAATTAAATTGGCTGTGTAGATCTATTGGCTAGCCAAGGTCAGATGACCCTAAGCATCAATAGTAAACCTCTTGATCTTCTGATTACTTTATCACTTCATTTTGTCTGTAAAACAAAACAAAACTCGGAAGTGTTACAGAATCAGAGTATTAAAAACTGCACGAGTGTATAGGCTTCCCAGACACACATGGATACATTTTTCCTCCACATTTTCACCATGGCAGTATTAAGTAGTGAGTGTGGATGACACAGCATGAAACTGGTTATGGAATCAGCTATGAGCTCAGATGGCCTCAACATACATACTCAAGAAATGTTGCATGTTTAAATAACTGAGAGTGTGCTAAATCTCATCTGAAAAAAGGAGGAGAGGGGCTGGGGAACTCAGGCCACAGTCATGAAAGGATGAATACAAGTTCTAGGTTTAATAGGTTCACCATATTGAAATCTTTGAGAATCCAATATGGAATATCAATTATTTTGCAAAAGGTAGAGAAAGCAGTTCTCAGCTTTTGCAAATGAAATACAGTGGAAAAACACTGTTGTATATATTCCAAATAAACCGTCTTGATTTCAGCGCTAACAAAACAACGGGAAAGGTACTCATGAGCATCTCACGGTTAAGTCAGAAATGATCATTCACACAGGTCTGATTTCAGAAGTACAACAGCAAGATGCAGTACCATAGACACATCGGTTTTGGCTGTTAAAAGATGGATCATTTTAAAAACTGTGTTTTCCTTCCTTAATTTTTGGTCAGTGAAGCTAGCAGTTGTTTGTTGAACTGTGGCAGAACTGTAAGGTCACACACATTATTCGTGATAAAGCAACCGAACTGACAAGTCTGTGCTTAATTCAAGAATAACCAGTATGAGAGAGAGAAAATACAAGGAGTTAACCACCATCGCCGGCGCTCTCTCAAAGGAAGAGGGTTTAACAGATGAATTCACAAAGGTAGGCAGACCTATGCAGAACACTGAATGCCATGTGTAAATCCTCATGAAACTCCAGAAACAGGAACACCACACAATGTATATACTTTGATTTACACATTCCATGACAAAGGAAAAAGAGACACCATTACAACTTTGTAACTGTGTTAACTGCAATATAAACCAAGTCCAGAGTTTGGCAGGTAACTAAAAGAGGGTTATCACTTAGGTTATATAGCAAAAGTGTTGATGTATATTATATATAGTAGTGTAAATAATAAAAAGTATTATTTACATTAGATCACAGTACTGCATTATGTGCATAACTGTTTGATATAGTATTGGTGGGCTGGGACCTATGACACTAAGGACTTAGCTATCAACACTGGGAAATCACGATCAAGAGGAAACACAGAGTTCCATGTTTTCCTTTGGTGGCAAAAAAATCCTGAAGGATTTTTTTTCTGCAAGAAAAATACTTCTCTACAGAAACATAAAAATCAATTGCAACATCTGGGCAGCTGTGATCCACCAGAAAGAAACGAGTCCCAACCTGAACTAAAGGTAAAGAGAAATCACATGGAATTTAATCCAATCTCAACTAGAAAAGCTTCACATTGGCCAGGCGCAGTGGCTCACACCTGTAATCCCAGAACTTTGGGAGGCCGAGGTGGGTGGATCACGAGGTCAGGAGATTGAGACCATCCTGGCTAACACGGTGAAACCCTGTTTCTACTAAAAATACAAAAATTAGCCAGGTGTGGTGGCGGGCGCTTGTAGTCCCAGCTACTCGGGACGCTGAGGCAGGAGAATGGCATGAACTCGGGAAGCAGAGCTTGCAGTGAGCCGAGATAGCGCCACTGCACTCCAGTCTGGGAGACAGAGCGAGACTCCGTCTGAAAAAAAAAAAAAAAAGAAAGAAAAGCTTCCCCTTTAGGTCACTTGTACGCAACTACAATTCCTTCTCCAAGAGCCCTTCCAGGAGAGGTGCTGGATACGTATGCTAGTTTGGAAGCTAAAAGACCCCCTGACGTTTGTGAAGGAATTCCAAGACTAAAGTGAATGACACTTAAGCAAAATATTATTTCACAAATAGGCTTGTGCTTAAATTCTCTACTGCTCTTGGAGGAGGGGATAAGAGAGGGTGCCTCCTGCTCCTTGGCTTGTTAAGGACACAGACAACTTCATTCTGCAATGAACTCACTACAAACAGCCACATACACATTGATACTCTTTGTTTTTATTCTCAACAATCAAAATACAAAGTTAAACACAGCTGAGCCATTGTTTCGGTTATGCATAATGTGTATGCCTCCAAAAACAGAAGAAAAATAGGAAGAAGTACCCTCACTAAAGGTTCCCCGACAAATCTTCCGGCAGATCCAACAAAGGGAGGCTCAGGAAAATCACACTTAGAAAGCTGCCCGATGAGGTATTTATGCAAAAAGAGTGGTTCTGGAGTTAAGAACACATTTTTATATTTCTCAAAGAGATCAGAAAAGTAAATCATACACATTGCATGTTATTATTTAGAGCCTCTGCCCCTTTAGAAAAGTGAAATGAGGGGAGACAGCCCACGGTGGGGATTTTAATTGGAAGAAGTCCTCGGCCAGAAACAGTCCTGAATGTTTAACCTCTGCCTTTCAGGAGAGAGGTCTGAATTTTATCATCCGGGGGGTGGGATGAAGGTAGGGGACTGAGCTAGAGGTCTTTAGGCTTGGTCAGGTGACAACACAAATCAAGGTGTCGCTCAGGCTCCATAGCTGTGGATGGCTTTTAGGGTGTCAGATGTCTGGGGAGACGGAGGGAACAGAGCACTGCAAAGATACTTTATTCCCATCTACACCCTGAACGAACATGCTGGAAGCATTCAGCTTCAGGTCATGAATTCAACCTGCTGCAGAAGAGTAGGTTTTTTCAGGTTCTGTCATCAGCAACGCACCAATGCCCCATCTTTAACAGGTGAGGTTCCAATAAAGGTTCTCTCTGCTCCCTTCCAGCCCTGATAGCCCAGGCCTATGAGCTGACACCCAGAGGAGGTAAAGAACTTGCTGTTCCCGCACAGTGAGGCAATGGTGTGAGTACTTGAACTTCTGCATCTTAAATCAGTTACTGCTTCTCTGCTTTACCCTGGAGTGTTTCCTTCACAGCTCAATAAATATTTCATCAGTGGTGACTCAATATAATCACCATCCCCCATGCCATCCCAGGCAGCTTAAAACCTAGAGACTGTCACTGCTCTTTGACATATTCTGTCACTTTGCCTCCCCAGGTCATCATCCTCTCACCCGCCTCTGACTCTTCCCACAGGAGAGAGCTGGTCGAATAGTACAATTCCCCGATGTGAATGGGGAGAAGCTGGGGAAAGGAAGAATGATCTTCAGGCAGTAAGGGTAAGAGGAGCCACTTTTCCCATCTGAGTAAATACCAAGAGAAGATGAATGTGAGGCTCTTGGCGATTAGCTGTCTGCTGGGAGAGAAACACCTTCATTGATTAAATACAAAATCTGTTCTGGCAAACATGGTCCTTGGAATAGCTCTTAGCAGATCCTTGCACCGGGCTTGTAAAAGCTAAACTGCTTTCTGCTCCCAACTATCCTTCCCACTTGGGGGATTTGGAGAAAGGGCTGGGGAGAGGGAGAGGACGAAGTGGTGCCCAGGATGCCACAGGGAGAGGAGAATGAGCTAAATGTAGAGTGTGAGGATGTAGTCAGAGGGTTATGCCCCTGACAGTCTTGG